GCTAAGCATATAATTATATTTAATATATATATATATATATATATATATATATATATATATATATATATATATATATATATTAGTTACTCATCTCTTACAATCCTAATTTGGAATGTAAACTTGGTATTAAATTTGCTTCTATTTTGGTTATGGTGGAAGTTGGAGCTTAGAACTTTTTGTGATTTAGTTCTATTAAACTTTTATTTTTGTTTATTATGTTTTCTTAATTATATTATGTGCATGTTATTTTTTTATTTTTATTTTTGTTGGGATACATAATTTCATTTATGTTGTGCCATTCCCAGACTTTCCACATTTAAATAGCCGAAGCTTAAGTTCCAAAAAGTGGGAGAAAAAAATTTGTTAGCGGGGTGGGCACGGGGGCACCGTATTTCCTAACGGGACGGGGCTGGACATGAAAATTCAACTCGTCGCGAGTCTCGGGGCGGGCATGAACTTGACAAAAATTAAAAAGGGCGGGACGGGATTTAGGGAAATTCGTTCCAAACCCGCCCCGTTGCCATCCCTAGTTTTCATTCGGAGAATTGTTTATTGTTATCTTCTATTCTAACCATTTTCTATACATGATGTATTTCGTTTTAACTGTAAGGTACCTTAGCTAAGGACCCACTTGCACTGTAATTTTTTTTTTTCAAGGAACATAAGGGGATTTTTTTTTTCCTGAAAAGAACAATATAAGTATTGAAAAACTATAATTCTTTCAAAAGTTTGATGGGGTTGAATGCATATGTGATTGCAGGATTTTGAAATTATAATTCAATCTTGTTTAAAATTAACTCATTATTAAAGTTATGTGGAGAAAAATTATTAATGATGATATGTTGAAAAAAAAAATACTAAAATACAGTTCACGTTTCATATGTGCTCCTAGAGTAGCAATATTGATAGTAACGAAATACAGAATATTTATTATGTCTATTAATGATTGAACAAAATAATGAGTTTTTAATGTAAAATTACCAATCTCATCTGACCGGATCAGTAGCATTCCCTCAAGCAAATGTGTCATAGTTGTGGACATGGTGGTAGAAATAGTTACAACAATTGTGGAGGTCATAATTCTTCAATATTGCATATTAAGAAGAGTAATGACAGTGAGTTCAATAGTAGAGTGCATTCGACAAGATTTATGTGGGCAAAGAATGACGTCATGACGATATCATCATATTTAATGACATCACAATGATATCATCACCCATTAACATAAATCAATAAGATACATCCACTTTTGAACTACTTATCATTATTCTATTAACTCTTTTTTAAAGGTTCGATATTGTTATACATTTTCATTAACCGATTAGTTCGGTCGATTTACATTGATATTTATCCGAATTCGTTACACCGCGATCGCGAGCGATACCAATATAATTGGTGCGGTGGTATTGTGGGATGAGGTGTAAACACGTGATTGGATTCTTAATGTGCAGACTTGTGATTGATTTAGAGCATTTCCAACTCACTTGCTATATGAGTTACCAATTCAAAATATAGTAGGTGGGTTAAAATTAGGCCCTCCAATGAGCTGCTATTTCACCGGTCAAAAATTGCCTTTGTTATTTTTGGTGCCAAATCTAGCAAAACTTACAGCAACAGATATTTCTATATCTCTCAATCCTATCTGTTTCTCTCTCTTTCTCTTCCCCTCTCATCCTCATATATGTGTGTGTGTGTGTGTATATATATATATATATCTCTTTCTTCTCAGATCGGTTTTGAAAAAGATCATGTGTGTGCCTTTAATGATTGAACAAAATAATGAGTTTTTAATGTAAAATTACCAATCTCATCTGACCGGATCAGTAGCATTCCCTCAAACGAATGCGTCATAGTTGTGGACATGGTGGTAGAAATAGTTACAACAATTGTGGAGGTCATAATTCTTTAATATTGCATATTAAGAAGAGTAATGATAGTGAGTTCAATAGTAAAATGCATTCGACAAGATTTATGTGGGCAAAGAATGACGTCATGACGATATCATCATATTTAATGACGTCACAATGATATCATCACCCATTAATATAAATCAATAAGATACATCCACTTTTGAACTACTTATCATTATTCTATTAACTCTTTTTTAAAGGTTCGATATTGTTATACATTTTCATTAACCGATTAGTTCGGTCGATTTACATTGATATTTGTCCGAATTTGTTACACCGCAATCACGAGCGATACCAATATAATTGGTGGGGTGGTATTGTGGGATGAGGTGTAAACACGTGATTGGATTCTTAATGTGCAGACTTGTGATTGATTTAGAGCATTTCCAACCCACTTGCTATATGAGTTACCAATTCAAAATATAGCAGGTGGGTTAAAATTAGGCCCTCCAATGAGCTGCTATTTCACCGGTCAAAAATTGCCTTTGTTATTTTTGGTGCCAAATCTAGCAAAACTTACAGCAACAGATATTTCTATATCTCTCAATCCTATCTGTTTCTCTCTCTTTCTCTTCCCCTCTCATCCTCATATATGTGTGTGTGTGTGTGTATATATATATATATCTCTTTCTTCTCAGATCGGTTTTGAAAAAGATCATGTGTGTGCCTTTAATGATTGAACAAAATAATGAGTTTTTAATGTAAAATTACCAATCTCATCTGACCGGATCAGTAGCATTCCCTCAAACGAATGCATCATAGTTGTGGACATGGTGGTAGAAATAGTTACAACAATTGTGGAGGTCATAATTCTTCAATATTGCATATTAAGAAGAGTAATGATAGTGAGTTCAATAGTAGAATGCATTCGACAAGATTTATGTGGGCAAAGAATGACGTCATGACGATATCATCATATTTAATGACGTCACAATGATATCATCACCCATTAACATAAATCAATAAGATACATCCACTTTTGAACTACTTATCATTATTCTATTAACTCTTTTTTAAAGGTTCGATATTGTTATACATTTTCATTAACCGATTAGTTCGGTCGATTTACATTGATATTTGTCCAAATTCGTTACACCGCGATCGCGAGCGATACCAATATAATTGGTGGGGTGGTATTGTGGGATGAGGTGCAAACACATGATTGGATTCTTAATGTGCAGACTTGTGATTGGTTTAGAGCATTTCCAACCCACCTGCTATATGAGTTACCAATTCAAAATATAGCAAGTGGGTTAAAATTAGGCCCTCCAATGAGCTGCTATTTCACCTGTCAAAAATTGCCTTCGCTATTTTTGGTGCCAAATCTAGCAAAACTTATAGCAACAGCTATTTCTATATCTCTCAATCTTATCTGTTTCTCTCTCTTTCTCTTCCTTTCTCATCCTCATATGTGTGTGTGTGTGTGTGTATAAATATATATCTCTTTCTTCTCAGATCGGTTTTGAAAAAGATCATAAAAACTTTCACCAAATAGGATTTAGTTTGCAAAACAAGAATTAAAGACATTGATTAGTTGATTTAGAAAAAAAAAATAAAACATAACCCATACGTACAAGTTAGCAGTTGCAAATAGAGGGGGGGACAAGTTTGAGAGTTGAGAGATAGCGACTGAAGCTTGCGAACGGTGAACCCGAACTGGAATAGCGGGTGATGGAAACTGAAAGCTATGGGTTTTGAACTTCTGATTCTTGTTGATTTTGTAGTTTGCAGTTGTAGAGGGGGAGGGGGAGGGGGAGGGGAGGGGAGGGGAGGGGGGCAATTTCAGAGTTGAGAATGAGAATAGAGATGGAGGCGATTGGGGGAGGCTGAAATGATTTGCCCTACATATATATATATATAATATAAATTTTTGAAAAAGAAAAAAAAATTATATAAAAAATTTATATAATAATATAATCAAATATATAAATTTATACATATATATATATATATATATATATATATATATTTTTTTTTGGGTCCTTTTTTGACTAAATATTTTAGAATTTTGATTCTTTTTAATAAAGTTTAATTTTAGTTTATTTCTAATGTCTACAACTTGACTTGGAATGTGCCTAATATTAACATTACTTATACAAATATGAATGGTGGAAATGATAGTTGAAAAAGAATAGTGATTGTGTCAAAAAATAGCATTTTACATAAAATATATTATTAGAGCAGAATTACTAAAATATAATATTTTGGCACCGTATCACTATCAAAATATAAATTTGGTATTCAAATTTAACATTTTACCATTAAAGATGCTCTTAGCAAACAGTTACTTAGGCGACAGAGCCGAGATTTCATGCGAGGGGAAATATGTGGTTGAACTTAGGGGACAAAGTCTCTAATTACCCTCAAAAAGTCAAAAGAAGCGTGTCCCCTCACGTTAAATTGAAACATTTCTTAGGAGAACAGTAGTAATATGATTATTGTGCCGTGAAGTTTGTGGTCTCTCATTAGCAAAAGAGTGAATTGACAATTTGTCAACCAAATAGTCCCATCATAGGATAATCATCTTGAAATACTTTTCAAAAAAAAAATCATTGAGATGGTAAAGATAAAAATTTTGATTGAAAGAAGGATAATACTAAAGTTGCACTTAAATGTGCATTCTACACTACAGGAATTTTTGATTTGCTAATAATTTTTTACACAGTCGGTCCCATGTCTGAATTAAGGAGGAGGGGTGCGTTTAAGTTATCTTGACAACCAACATAAAACTTTGCTAGAAGCATGAATCATATGAATACACAGCCAATTCCAAAACCGGATAAAGGAGGAGGGTTCATTTAAGTAGCTTGACAACCAACGTAAAACTTTATCATGACCAATACGAACATGAATACAAAGAAATAGAATTTACATAACGAGACTTTAGACAGAGCGTAATGAAAACATTTAATTCATTTAGCCAATCCCAAATAATTGGGAATAGGCTTTTTCTTCTTGTTGATGTTGTTTTAACTTGCTTTTCATGTAGGTTTATGTTGGTGAGCATCTTTATCCCTGTAGGCATTTCTAGCTTGTCTCTCTCTCTCTATCATATCTGATTAGTTTCTATGCTATATAGTTTTATGATAGGCATTTTTTTTTTTTTTTCATGTCATGTTTTGGATCATGAAATTTACAACAAAATTTTTTTTTTTTTCCATATAATTTGCCCTTATTATATTAAATACTTAGCAAAATAAATGAAATTATTTTTGAGCATAATTATTCTCACATTCTAAGGTTTGGGCCAATTACCATAAAAGTAAGTCAACCTTCCATGATCTCATGATGAAAATCATAGTCAAGACCAACTCCACCGTTAGTGCGGTTGGACTACTTTTTAACGGCAAGCACGATGAAGGACAATTCTCAATCCAAAAGAATCATACAAGACTGGGACTTGTGCCTCCGACCACCGCGGCGATCACCGGATCACCAAGCCTAAGAGCCCTAAACCCTCATTTCAATGCTCTGTTTGTTATCACTGGAATGACCAATTAGTTGTAACGGCAATTTGATTCTAACATAAAACATAAAATATAAAACATAAAACATAAAACATAAAGCTTAGCTCCCTAAGGTCATAGGACATTGTGTTGGTGTCTGTTATTAACCTAAATAAATAAATAATCTAAAACGTAAAGCAAATGTATAAAAGATCATCATATGTTTCCATACATAGTAAATGTTCATGCCTTTGAAGGTGTATAAAAGGCGCGGGAAGGAGAGGATTCTAAGGTTCGAGTCTTAATTTGGCATATATCCCAGAGTCTTGAATAATTGGGAGTTTTGGCCAAGTTGCATCGTTTATGAGACTAGTGAGCATTAAGATGTGATGAAAACTGGGTTTTATTTACTTTTATAATGCTATAAACTCATCAGTCCTGAAATTGAAGAATCTTATTGATAACCTCAATTTATGAGGTAAGATCAAAAGTCATAAGTTAATCACATTTGTCCAAGGGATAACCTAATTTCAGTGATTTCAGAACATCAAAATTGGTTCATATTAAACATTAAGATGAGTATGTGATTACAAGTGTGAGGGCATTGTACAAGGAATGAATAAGATATGAAGAACTTAAGTTTCCTGTCCAACAATAGGAGGTTCCAAGGACAGTCCCAATTATGAATAACTGTAAGAAATTCTCACCAGAGAAATGAGCCGCACTGAAAATGGCTGAGCTTATGACAACAGCTTGTTGCCATTTCATTCTGGACGTAAGAGATGCTAAAAGGAACCCTCTGTAAACAATTTCTTCCAACAGGGGAGTGACGATGCAATAAACAAGGATGCAGGCAGTTTGAGAAACGAAACCACTTGAAAGGATTTCCTTCATTATGGGGTTGTTCACATCCTGCAGCCATGTATTACAAGAAAAAGATCAGTTGATAAGAAAAAAACTGCATAGCTGCTTAAAAATTCGAGGCTGTCATAATTGGTCTCCTTTGATCTATAAATCTTGAAGAGCACAAGTCATCTGAAATGAGGAAGAAAAAATGAAAAATAAACAATAAGGAAAGTTGAGACTCAGTATGCTTTAGCTAATTGATGAGTCATCATTCAGTGAAGCGCCTTATTCATTGTAAAATCATCTCCTTATTCATTGTAGAGTGGTTAGGGAGATATTTGATGTTTCCTAAGCAGTGGCAAAGTTGCTTCGTAATTAGGGAAATAGAAGAAATGGCAAGAGGAAGAAGAAGAAATGGAAATGTTCCTGTCTTATGTGGTGAGTCCACGGGGAAAGAAACCGCTGGTCTTATGATTTGAATCGAGGATCCAACTCATAAACTGAAGTCATATTTTGGCTGTTCTTTTAGCTGGGTGACAGGAAAAGGTATATCCTTCACACCGGACCAGAGGAGAGTTAACCTGAGGAAGCATACCTCTTCTGATTTAAAACTACTGTAGAAGAACCAAGAAACTCCATACCAAGAGCACGGACTAACCAAACAAAAAACAATATCTATAACAGGCCGTAAACAGAACAGAGTCTTCCAGACAACGGAGATGGCCCAAATATCAAAAAATTTCATACCAACTGGTCTTTCTGGACCTCCTCCATAAACCATGCAAACCTTCCACTAAAACAGCTATAGCCACTCTAGGCACCAAACTGATCCCAAGTACCAATCATCCAGGCCAAGCAACAATTCCCTAGCAATATTACCCATGATTTTTCAGAACACAACTTTTAGAAAAGAATCATCATATGATCCAACTTGAAGCCTTCAGAAAACACAAACCCCTTAGAAAATGGGCTCAAGGGACAAGCCTATCTGGTGCAGATAAATGGTTCTTGATGTTCAACCAGAATAAAAAGAGTGGCAAGCAATGCGATGGCTGAACCAAAGAAAATAGGCGCAAGGCACTGAAGGAAGAGGATTTGGAAGAAATTTCAATTTCAGCCCTCATGTAATTCACCACCAGGCGAAGTAACCCAAACTACCTAGTCACTCCTATCACCATTAGGTTCCTCAGTCCAAAAGGATATAGATTTAAACTCCAGAAGCTAAGTTTAAAATCTTTTCCAACTATCATTCATATAAAACGTTTGAAAGTTTTCAAAGCATCATTATAGAAAATTAGAAACTACGATTTTTTTAATGTTTAGTGCCTTATCTTTATATAGCCGCTCCCAAGCCTGAAAAAAAGAGGATGCTTGCATTAAGTAGCCTGACAGCCAGCTTAAAACATTTGTCACAACCATTAGTCGACCCCAAGTAGTTGGGAAAAAGGCTTTGTTGTTGTTGCATTATACAAAATTATTCTTCCTAGCCCTCTTGGATAAAATTTTGGAAGACAACCATTTCAACTTCTCAAACATAATAAGGATTTATAGTCAAAATTTAGAAATGTGAGTTTTTTAAGTGATTGGCAAAATAAGATTAGTATATGAGAAAGACAGTAAAAGAATTAACTTGGTCCAAGGTGGCTTTCTCTTTTACATTTAAATCAAAATCAAGATGCCATGAAAAATCACAAAACTTAAAAGTACCATACCAAGATGCCCATCAAATAAATTCTTCAATCAATATAGAAAAATATAATATGCAGTTCCTCAGTATAAATCGTTTATCAGTCCCGCATTAGTAATACACCACATCAGTAGAAAGAAGAAAGATCAATATGCATCATTGACTTGGTATAGTAAGACATAACAAAATTCTACTTTCTTAAAAATTTCACATATTAAGTAAGGTTAAACATGCTCAAAAGGTTTGAAATAGTAAAGAACCAAAGAAAATGGGCGCAAGGGACTGAAGGAAGAGGATTTGGAAGAAATTTCAATTTCTGCCCACATGTAATTCACCGTCAGGTGAAGTAACCCAAACTACCTAGTCATTCCTATCACCATTAGGTTCCTCAGTCCAAACAGATATAGATTTAAACTCCTGAAGCTCAGTTAAAAATCTTTTCAAACTATCATTCATATAAAACGTTCGAAAAAATTTCGAAGCATCACTATAGAAAATTAGAAACACCGATTTTGTTATGTTTAGTGCCTTATCTTTATAGCAGCTACCAAGACTGGAAAAAAGTGGATTCTTGCATTAAGTAGCCTGATAGCCAGCTTAAAACATTTGTCACAACTATTAGTCGACCCAAGTAGTTGGGAAAAAGGCTTTGTTGTTCTTGTTGTTGCATTATAGTACAAAATTATTCTTCCAAGCCCTCTTGGATAAAATTTTTGGAAGACAACCATTTTCACTTCTCAAAACACAATTGCTCTGTTTCTGCTCTATACTTTTAGTGGGTGGAACACAACCTCAAGTAAGGATTTATAGTCAAAATTTAGAAATGTGAGTTTTTTTTAAGTGATTAGCAAAATGAGATTAGTATATGAGAAAGAGAGAGGGTAAAAGAAATAACTTGGTCCAAGGTAGCTTTCACTTTTACATTTAAATCAAAATCAAGATGCCATGAAAACTCCCAAAACTTTAAAGTACCATATCAACATCCCCATCAAATAAATTCTTCTATATAATATGCTGTTCCTCAGTTCATATAGAAATCATTTATCACTCCCGCATTAGTAATGCACCACATCAGTAAAAAGGGGAAAGATCAATTTGTAACATTGACTTGGTATGGTAAGATATAACAAAAATTCTACTATCTTAAGAAAATTAAGATATTAAGGCCAACAACTGTGTAAGGTCAAACATGCTCAAAAGGTTTGACATAGTAAAGTATATACATTAAGTGGTTAAAACTCATTAATATAAACCACCATGCAATAAAATGATCTATTATTGGGATTTATCAAGTGGTGCATTCCATTCAATTTTTAAAATTTTATCATGATGACAAATTTTCATTGGAGAACTATCGAGAAGAATTAGCTATGTAAAGAAGGCCAGCATGCCACTTCATATTTATAATAGTTCACAAAAGACGGTTGCTCCTCACTCCCCAGCCTCCCATTCCTTCCAAGTTTCCAACCAATGTCCTTGTTTTTTCCCCCAGGAAAGAGTGGTTTAACAATTGTAACATAAAGATTTAATTGAAAAATTGGTATTCTTAATAACGAGGTTCATCTTATTGATACAGTTCCAGTTGAAGTTCTGGGTGCAAAACTAAAATTCTGTTATGTACTGTAACAGATATTAAATTGTCCAACCAATAGAGAGAAAGGGGGAACATTAGTCCTATATTACATTACAGTTGATCCTAAAATATACAAGGAGGAATTGAGGAAACAACAATGAGTGGCGTGTACTGTTATAAATGTTATTCTGCCAATGAAATATGCACTCTTGGATCATTACTTTCCTTGCATTAGAAATTGAAATTTTGATGCTCTCTCTCATGGTTGTCATTGACATTAAAAATCAAGCTACTCCCTCCAACAATATGAAACTACTGGGAATCAGTATAGGTTTTGGAATTTTTTCGCCATTACTGGTCATATATGAAGATGAACTTATGCATACATATATACATTCTCTAAACACTCTGTCCACAATCTTGTAAGAAACTTAGTAAACGTGAGGAGCATGCAACTCCATTTTGTAATTTAATAAAATACTATAAATAAGAATGCATCAAGGAAAAGAATATATAGTTCATTAAACCAACCTTGGGCCCTATCAATTGGTCAGCAAGGAGTGAAGTAATGAAAACTAACAAGATAAGAAACCCAAAGCCCAGTGCTGATGCCGTCAGCCAGTTCCTATCTTTTGTTAGCTTCTCAGCTTGGAACAAGTTAACAAACTTATATCCTGGCTTTGCAATGCACCTTAGTAGCCACAATACTCCAGTGAGCTCGAACGTTTGAATTGCAAGCAGTGATAATGCCTGTGCTGAATAAGAGAAATTTAAGTATACTATCAGCATGCAATATTATCATTCTCAAACTTGATAAATAGTTCAGTCTGTGACACATTTCAATAGAAATATGAAAGGCAAATTCCTTAAACTTTTTGGGGGCAGAATAGGCCATAGATTTAGGATAAATGTTTCACAGTGGGTCATTGAATTCAGCATAAACAAAGGAATAAATCATTGTCTCCAGAATCATGCAAATGCCAAGTCCCTATGGGAAAGCTCCATAATTTGTATCAAATGAATGATATCCAATTCTCATAGAGGTGAAAATTTATTTGTTCAAATTGAATCAAATCTAAGAAGCTGCAATTTCCTTAAATTTTTAGGGGCAATTTAGAGTAGGCCATAGATTTAGGATAAATGTTGCGCAATGGTTCACCAAATTTAGCAATCAAAGGAATATATCATTGTCCTCCAGAATCATGTAACTGTCAAATCCCTATGGAAAGCCCCATAATTTGTATCAAACAAATGGCATCGAGTACTCAGAGAGTTAGCAATTAATTTGTTCAAATTGAATCAATCTAAGAAGCTTTAGACACTGGATGAAATACCGACTTGTGTACTTCAAGGTTGATTCATCAACTCAACTAGATAATAAGAAATCACAAATATCAGAGGAGTCGGGGATGCATAGGCTAACACAGTTCTTAGCATGGAACCCGCTACATAAGAGTACCACATGACAGGTATTCACATCTCTATATCATGAAGCATCACTGTTTATTAATTTTCAATTATCATTTTAGCAAAATAATTTGAAGTGAGGCTGAGGTGTCCTAGTTGACATATTTGCGTTGTGTCCTTGTTTGCTTTCAGGCAGTCTCTGGGCTGAAAGTCAACATGGGAAAGAGTGTGATTGTCCCTGTGGGGGATATTCAGGAGGTGGAGTCTCTCGCAGCTGTCCTAGGGTGTAGGACGAGGTCCTTCCCTATTTCCTATTTTGGCTTGCCTTTGGGTGTCTCGACTAGAAGGGTGGGAAGTTGGGACCCGATGGTTGAGCGTTTCGAGAGAAGGCTGGCGGGGTGGAAGAAGCAATACCTTTCGAAGGGGGGAAAAGTTACTCTAGCGAATAGCACTTTATCTTGTCTCCCAACTTATTTCCTTTCGCTCTTCCAGATCCCCTCTGCTGTTGTTGGAAGACTTGAGATGCTTCAACGGAACTTTTTGTGGGGTGGTAGAGGAGAGGAGTTTAAGTATCATCTTGTTAGATGGGAGCAGGTTTGCAGGCCGCTCAGGCTGGGAGGCCTAGGGATTAGGAGATTGGCCCCTTTCAACAGTGCACTCTTAGGCAAGTGGCTTTGGAGATTCGGCAGTGAACGACATAGGTTATGGAGGAAGGTTGTTTTTTGTCGGTTTGGGGAGGAGAGGGGGGGATAGTCAGCTAGACCGGTCAGGTCTGCTGTCGGTGTGGGGGTTTGGAAATCTATTGGGAAAGGTTGCGAAGAGTTCTCAAAGCACATTAGATTCAAAGTCCGAGAAGGAAGGGATATCCGATTTTGGGAGGATGCTTGGTGCGAGGACCGTCCTTTGTCTTGTCTGTACCCGAGGTTGTTCAGGATTGCTGTTGATTGACATGCTATGATTGCTGACTGCTATCGCCTTGATAGCGGTAGGTTGTCTTGGGATGTTTAGTTCCGGCGATCCTTTCAAGATTGGAAGTTGGATGAGGTCATTGGTTTGTTGGATCTTTTGTATAGTCAGGAGGTGGATGGCACCGGGCCGGATTCCTTGACTTGGGTGCTTTCTCCTCAGGGGACGTTCCAACTCCGGTCCTTTTTTCACCAGCTTTCAGGGTTTCGTGGATCCACCTTCCCATGGAAAACGGTTTGGCACTCGAAGGCCCCTCTTCGGGTGGCTTTCTTTGTGTGGACTGCTGTTTGGGGCAAGATCTTGACTCTAGACAACTTGAGGAAGAGACGACATGTTATCATTAACAGGCGTTGCTTGTGCATGAATGATGGAGAGGCTGTGGATCATCGTCTCTTGCACTGTCCTGTGGCTCACGACTGCTAGAGCCTTTTATTGTGTCTCTTTGGTGTTCAGTGGGTTATGCCCCGAACTTCAAGAGTTTTGATTGACTGTTGGAGGGGCCAAAGGGTGGGGGCGCGCCCGTAATTTTTGGAGAGTGATTCCCCTTTGTATTTGGTGGAGTCTTTGGAAAGAACGCAGTCGAAGATCTTTTGATGGGGAGGGGGCCTCCACTGGGGCTTTGAAGTTCGCTATTCTTTGCTCTCTTTTTAGTTGGGGTATGGGGAGAGATTGTATTTCTTTGGATGAGATTATGGACTTTTTGGGGTCGTTGGGTCCTTAGTTCTCATTTTTCTTCTCTTCCTTTTATCGTTTCTGTACAGCTCTTGGGACGCATTCCCCTTTTGAAGGCTTTCTAATACATTTTACTTATCAAAAAAAAAAAAAAAATGAAGTGAGGTCATTACCGACATCTCAGAATGTTGAATTCAAATCCAAAAGAAATCCTGACCAGATTCGCATACTTTACACCATTCTGATAAAAAGTCAGGCATGCTACTGAATTATGTCAAGAGAAAGGCCACCCTTTTCATCTCATTGAAAATTGAGGTGGTGGGTGTATGTTAGGTTATATGTTCTACTTTCTCCTACTATTTAAGCAACATTATTCATCAAATTTATCATGGAAATCAAGAATCCACACACCTCAGTCTGTAAATCAAGAATAGGTCGATGCAACAAGTAGGCAACCACAGACAACCCTCCATAACTCATAGGAATGTGTAAACTAAACAAATACAAAGCCATGGTGCTCCATGTAGCCTCACTGTCCCAAAGAATATCTGATTCCAACACTGAGAAACCCTGTTAAATTCAAATCACACAAACACCCAATTTTCAAATTCGACTTAGAACACCATAAAGAACAAAAATATGTACTTTATGTAATCTAATCAAAACATGGGCAAAATTAACTGACCAAAGATACTACCCACTTTTTTTTGGCAGATCGATAATACACTATGAAAAATAAGTAGATAACAAATAAAATAAAGGGGGGTTTATATGATGACATTAAAAATTGAAACCTTTACTTTCATAAATCCCTAAATGTTATTGTTTTCTGAGGAAAGAAGCAGAGAATAAACAAAAATTTCATACCTCAGATGCTCTAGTGGTGTGTTCCTCTTTAATGCAAGAACACTTGGAAGAAGATATGGGGCTCAATTTGGAGATGGAAAGGGAGGAAGGGAGAACAGCTTCATTTCTATGAGATATAAATTGGGACCCACCAAAATTGCCGCTTAAAAGTCTAGCCGGAGGAGCAGACATGGAACTCGGCGGCAAATGGACAACCACCATGTCCTCCTTATTCTGTTAGCCACACCGTTCCTTCTTTGCCCAGTTCATTTTCTTGTCACAGGAACGTCAATCAATTGTGTGCTTTGTGTATCTATCTATAACGGGTGATATGAGACTCTCGGGCACAATAGCGATATACTAGGACTAAACACGGATTGATCCTCTTGCCTAGTAAAAATTTGACCTAAGCTCTCCAGGACTAATTATTAAAATAAAGTCGAAGGAAATTTTATTCAAATTGTTCTAAAAAAAATTATATGAAAAATTTGCAAAAGATTTTAATACTCATGGACAAAACGATGTCATTTTAAAATTTTATTTTTCAATGATAAAATTAAAATTTATACAAAAACTCATTTAACAAAGTGTTAATAAAAATTATTATTTTTAAAAAATTAAAATTTCATTGGATTATATTTGTGTAAAAAAAAAGCTATTAAACGGGATTTATAAGAAAATTAATTTCTTCCAAAACAATTTTCATTTTGTTTTTTAATTTTCTTTTTGAAAAGAAGAAAAGAAAAAACAAAAAAAGAAAATAATTTTAAAGAAAACTTAATTTTTCTTAAAAATCTATCAAGGAGGGTTTTGTGCAAAATATGTTTGTCCAAGGGGGTTCTATACAATTTGCTCTCTCTTATCTATTAAGGGGCATTTTTGTCATTATATTCTTACTTTAGGGGCATTTAGAAATAATATGAATTGAAAATATTAATAAATCAAAAATTTCTTCAATTTTAAATGTGCCCTTTTATTTTAACTGTTTTTGACCCTCGAAAAAGCAGAGTTGGTAACTTGGTAACCCAAAAAATGGCATCTACATAACTCTCTTTTGCTGTTAACCCTTGTATAATTTAAATTTTTAAAAGGATCAAGTGCAAAAATGATTGGTTAAGGTTTTGAGACCCACAGAGAGAGAAGGAAGGGGATCAAATGCAAAGCCTCGGTTAGAGCTCGAATCAAATTGCCTGTAGCACTGGCCACGGCTGTTTAGGTACATTCCTCCTTCCTTTTGACTATCTATATTTATTTTTATAAGAGATTGTGTCTTCGGAGATTTTTATCACTGATTTTAATCTCACCTTATTTTATAAAAATTAACTCCAAATATATATTAATTTCTTGCTTCCTCTTAAATTTCACTGTAAAAGGTTATGAGTGATGCAAATGTTGTTTTTCTATTTATTATGTGTGTGACATCATACATTGCCAGAAGAGGAGTTATACTTTTATGCGTTGATAACTCTTAACTATGCAGACTTGTTTGAAAAAGTCGAACAAAATGGACAATATTTACACAACGGGTTCATGGGAGCCATTTTGAAGGTCATGAACTCATAGACAATATTTACACAACGAGAATTAGACATATATTATGGTTATTTTTCAAAATTTCGAGCATGCACTCACACACACACACATATCAGATGCTAATGTGGTGTAAATGTAAGCTTGGTGGTGATGCTTCACTTTGAGAGAAAAATATGTTCATTCTGGTGAACTAATAGGATTTATTTAGTTGTAGGCATACATACTATACACAAGCAATGGTTCCCCCTCAATGTCATCACCTTGAGTCATCTTCTTGGTCTCCCATAGTTTGAGTCGAGTCATTATTTATTAAATCTTTGTCAAATTAAGCAGGTCCAACAGAGATTTTATAACCGAAATTTCTTAGAAAACACGTCTTGATATTTGATAGACAAACCACTAAATCGGTTTTGACTTTTGAGGTAATCTCATGACATTCCATGGCAAAATAAATTTAAAGTAGACCATTGCATTTTTTTATACTTCTTCACTTGTCTTTGAAGTACTAGTAGAGCCAAAGAAAAAGAATAATGTTCTTAGGATCATCCCTTTTTACCATATTGAAGTGGCATTTTGTTATAATTTTCTAATGAGGAGTCATCGAGCCCCATATGTGCAGCGACGGAGCCAGGATGTAAGGTAAAAAATGAATTTTGGGGGGGCAATAATGCATTTTTTTAGGAATTTCAAGTGGACAAAAGTAATATTTTATGGGTATATTACTAAAAATGAACAAATTATAAAGGTATATTACTAAAAAAATTAAAATTCAGGGGGTTCAATTGCCCCATGACTTGTATGTAGCTCGGTCCCTGCATATGTGTGCCCCAAAATTGGAGCTAGGGTTTAACCTTGGGTATCTGTTTGGCAGCTCTGCTGCAAGCATACCTCACCGCATTTTACCACCAGTCCATGCGTCAACGACGCCATTACTTCATGCCCAAGCATAGGTTCTTCTCTCGTGAGTGCTAATGTCATGGATGTTCTAATTATAATCAAATTATGATTTTCCAAACTATTGCCTGCAAGAGTATCGCAGTAGGAGTTGACTGTCTCATGGAAAATCAAAGCATCTTTATATTTAAAGCAAATAGTTATTTGTTTGTTAATTCTAACAAGTGGATGACACATCTTTACATGTAATTTTCATTGAACATTGAATTGTTGTGTTGAATTTCTACGTGTCCAAACATTGTATTTTTATTCCAGATTCAAGTATCTAATTGTAGAATTATAAAAGACCAGCACTAGGTTGAAGACTCGAAGTCCATAAATAATATTCTATTAGAGGCACAACAAGAGAGCCAAGACATTGCAATAGGCATGTAAACACACACACGCAAACAATATTCCATCCCAACTAATGCCTGAAACCAATTTTCCTAGTTTATCGGAGGACGAACAGAGCTATGGGACAGCTGAATTTATGGACCCTGAATTGTACAGAGCTACAACAGAAGGCGATATTCTTGAGTTCATAAGGGCGATGGAAACAAGTCCGGCAGATGGATCACATTACAATCCACCAGCAACTTGTGTCCAACTAGGTCCTCAGAAGAACACAGTCCTTCACATTGCAACAAATTTTGAGCACTATGAAATTGTTAAACTCGTCTGCAAGGACTTGCCTTACTTGGCGGCTGAGAAAAATGCCAAAGGCGACACGGCACTCCATATTGCTGCAAGATCTGGGAATTCATGGCTAGTCGCTTTGCTGCTCGATTGTGATCACATCAAAGAAGTTCTGAGTGAGCAGAATGAGGATGGTAACACTGCGTTGCACGAGGCACTGTGTTGTTGTTGTGAAGAGGTGCCTCGAATGCTGATTGATAAAGACCGAAACGTGTCATATTCTGTAAACAAGGAAGGGAAGTCTCTGCTCTATCTGGCTGCAGAAGCAGGTTATGCTTCCATTGTTAGGCTTCTGTTGGAAAATCCAGTGGGAAATTACAGTATTGGAGGGAGTTCTAAATACAACTCACCAGTTCATGCAGCTATCCTTGGCAGGAACATAGGTAATTCTCAGTACATCTCTCTCTCTCTCGTTAATCTGGTAATGGAAACCTTATTATTATTTTTATTTTTTTCTGAAATTATAAATTAATAAGCTAATATATATCCAAGGATGAAAACTTGCATGGAAATGATCATGAGACTAAACAGAAATTAAGTAATGACATGAAATATATGGCATGATTCACTTCTTTTTTTTTTTCACCTAATTAAATTTAGTTAAGAGCTTCCTTCGATGTGCTTGTTCATGGAATTTCTCATGTTAACATGTACGAGATTCAACTTTTGTTGACTGAATAACAGAGTTAGAAAATTATTTGAGGAGGGGTTGGCCTTGAACAACAATAAGATTTTTTTTTTTTTTTTTTTTTAACTACGTAGCATAATCGGAGATTTATCAAAAATTAATTTAGTGGAGTCGTTACCAGAATTTTAGCAAATTTCTAGGTGTTTAATATAAATAAAAAAAATTCAGTGGTACAGACACCCCCACTCAGCATCCACATAGCACTGTTTATCATTTAATACAAGCTGGATTGGTTTTACTATCAGCTCCATTGATACATATTTTTATCCATTCAAACTTCACCAGATGCTTTGAATATCGTAAACTATAAAATCAAAAACACTACCTAAGCCGACCCCCTGAGTCTTGTGACTGATAATTACCAGCATCACTCTTATTAAATATCAAGAATATTTCTAAATTGGGTTGGGTGAGTGATCAGAAGGTGAAATTTCATTTGATCAACTGAGTTTTCAGTGGACCAGTCGCAGTACCAAGAAGAATTTATCATAATTTATTGGTCATGGTTATTTCGACATCATGCTCCATGATATATACAAATTAATATATGAGTAATATATATATATATATCTTTTCCTCAAATCATATATGTGTATTTGTACACACTGATGTCACTCTATGGGTGTCATGCCTGATGTATTCATCTAAGATATCATAAGAAGCCGCCATGCATGCCGGCCTCCTATAGCTATACATATTAGTTTTTGTTGTTACTATCATGTAATAAAATTGTAGTATAAAATATTCATTTTCATGCGTAGGATGAGTAATACTAGGGACGACAATAACAATTAGGACTCTACCAACTGCAGCTTCCAAGAAAATACTTTGAATCGACTGTCTATCACTTTTCAATTAAATATTTTAGTTTGAACCTTTCAAAGATGTATTAATTGATAAACAATCCCTCTCTATATCCCTTTTGCCAGAATGATTCAGTGTATACGCTACCACCACCAATATTCATTGAAGCCGTACATTACTTATTAAAGCATTTTGTTTTTTTGTTTTGTTTTGTTTTGTTTTTTTTTTTTTTTTTTTTTTTGTTTTTGAAACCTCAGATGTCCTAAAAGTATTGTGGGAAAAGTATGAATCCTCCTTCCACATGAAGTGTGAGGAAGGGAGGAATCCTCTTCACTATGCCACATATATAGGTTTCGTCGAAGGGGTCAATTTCTTGCTGAATAAAAGTTGTGCTTTTGCTTACCAAAGGGACAAACATGGTTTGTTTCCGATTCATATAGCATCCAGCGAAGGCCATACCGCCATAATCCAAGATATGCTTTGCCACTGCCCGGATTCCAGAGAGCTTCTTACTTTAGAATTTCATAACATCCTTCATGTCGCGGCTAAAAGTGGAAAAGCCAAAGCAGTTAGTTTCATGCTGAAAATGTTCGAGCTTCAGAAGCTTTTGAATGAGAGAGACGGGGATGGAAACACACCGTTACATGTGGCCACCATTTATGCGAATGCGGAAACTGTAAGTACTTTGACATGGGATGAAAGGGTAAACCTGGAGCTGGAGAACAATGAAAGTTTCACAGCACTTGACATTGCTGAAAAATATATGGAAACTGCAGAATCATTTAGAAAGGTATGTGTGTTGTTTGTTGCTTAATTCACAAAGTAAATCCATCATTCTCCAAGAGTCATTGCAAAAAGTGACCACCCTTTGCACTGAAATCTTGTGGAAATACAGTCATCACAACATTATTGTGTTTCTTTCTTTCTTTCTGTTTTTCTTTCTTTCTTTCTTTCTTTCTTTCTTTCTTCCCAACCTGCGTCATGGCTGATGTTTCTGTTTTTTGTGTTTTTAGTACTTGGGAGGGACAAAAGTATACACGCACGAAATTTCCTTTTCTTACAAAAATGAGACTGTAGAAACATTTAACTAATACTTTTTGTCACAGATGTCCTTTGCCACATAAGATGTTTACTGCAAAGAGTCTTGACTTTAATATTTAAATTCTCCAACACATTTTCATGTGTGACTTTTTTTTTTTTGATCATACGTGGTTCAATTTTAATTATTAGGATTTCCTTGCTTATAGTCAACCTCTACTTTTTTTTTTTTTTTTTTCGAACACGTCTTTAATTATCAGAATCACATTGATATTAAATTTAATCCGTTAGAAATAGTCTAAGTTTAATATTTAAGTTCTCTAACAATAAAGTCTATTCACCAAGGGCCTTGTGGCCTAGTCGTATTATTTGTATATCCTCTACCTCCCAAAATCAGAACATGTGTGAGTGGTATATGTGAATTTCTTCTCAATGAAAATAAATAAATAAATAAAATTCCATTCCATTGTACTCTTAGTGTTCCTTTTTGCCATTTGACTTTAGTATTTAAATTCTCTAACACTCTCATGTGTGGCGTTCTTTTTGACCGGTTCAATTTTTAATTATTAGGATGTCTTTGCTCGTAGCCTTCATTTTTTTTTTTTTTTAAACACATAATTCTGATAACGGTAAAATCAAGTTCAAGCTGTTAGAAATAGTCTAAGTTTAATATTTAAATTCTCTAACAATAAAGTCCATTCCATTGTAGTGTTCCTTTTGGAGAGGTACAATTGAAGAGACTTGTGCTTATTGTTACTCTACCTTATGTGCAGCGATTGACTTGGTTGGCCTTGAAAGTTGCCGGGGCACCGCGAACACGACACACAAAGGTTTCCAAATGGAAGAGACCTATTCTGGTAGAGGAGCCCAAAATGGAAAATGACAGAGATAAAGTCAATGTAATGTTGCTGGTGGCAACGCTTGTTGCCACAGTAACCTTCACTGCTGGTTTCACAATCCCAGGTGGTTACAACAATTCTGACAATTCTGACTCCCGGCAAGGCTTGGCAACCATGCTAGCAAAAGTGACATTTCAGGAATTTGTGATCTGCGACACAATAGCTATGTACAGTTCGATCACTGTCGCTGTGACACTCTTGTGGGCACAATTGGGGAACCTCATTTCGATGCAAATCGCCTTAAAATTGGCATTGCCACTGCTGGGGATAGCACTTGCTACGATGTCCGTAGCATTCATGGCTGGTGTGTATCTAGCGGTGAGCAAACTCGGTTGGCTAGCCCATGTGGTTTTGCTCATGGGGACTACCTTCATCTTCGTGCTCGTGACACTCTTCGTTCCACTCTGTTGCTTAGGCTCATCCAAGTACCAAATCTTCCGTTGCATCTCTTATTATCAGTTCTGTTTCATGTTATATGCCTTCAGCTACTACACCGACCACAATGTGGAAGGCTAAGTTCTACAAATATTACCGTGTCCTGTGAATATATAATGTTATATAACTAGTTATTGAATAAGTGTCTTGACTAATGGTAGTTGGTCAAGTGATATGTGATTAGGTTCACAGACTTCAGCTTGAAGTCTGCGAGATAAAGAATTCCTTAGGGAGTAAGTGGCGACTATTGTTTGTATATATATAGTCTGTAATATACCCGGGGAAAGAATATTGTTATATATCATCAATAATCAGAAACTGCGCGCTCTGTAGCTTTATTATGCATTTGTTTGTTGTGATCTTTGTGAATTGACACACATATTTTTATTTCAACAAGGCCATGCCATAGGCAGTAGTCAAAATTGATTTAGGGTGATCTTTCTGTAGTGTGCTCTGTGCTGGAGCATATATCAAAAAGGAAAATAATGTTTAGGCATCAAAGTAAAATAATTATAGCCATTGATAACTTGAAGTGGGATCCTTAACCTCATTTCAAGCTATGAATCAATGGCCTTAACCGTTTTACTTTGACAACGTATAATTATATGCATACAAGTTAAGGAGACAATGTCAGATTGTGAATCCCTCTGCCTCTGTATTTCGAAACTTAGTGTGAAAATAATTATTTTTCTTTTGCACTCAATTTTAAACTTTCGAAACTTGGCCAATACGGGATGATCCTTGACATCCATTCATACAACGGGAAATGGTTTTGTTTCAAAAGTAGAATGTATGATTACTTTTTGTAATAGAAAATAATATATAGTTAGATAGTAGTTGGACTAATTCGACTACTTGATATGAGTATAGACTAAAATTATGAAGACTTTAATAATAAAATTGATGGTTGATTTCAACTCCTATTCATATAAAAACAGTTGAAGCTATTAGATTTCGTATCATTACTCTTTTATGATAGTTGTAATAGTTGTATTTTAAAATCAATTGAATACTAACCATTCAAAAACAAGTGTATTGTAAAAAGCCGTGGAATGTAGATTATGTAGTAAACATCTCCCAAAATATATATATATATTAAAAGGTACACAATGAAAATTTCAAAACCATACAAGTAATCAAATAATCAATCGGAATTGTAAAAGGGAAGGTGTTTCTATGGGTCTTCAAACCACAGAAGGGGTAGGAGGTGGTGTTATAAAACAAAAGCCAGTGTCTCGAGGTCCTTTGGCAGGAGTTATGGAGAGTTACAGTTTTTAAAATAGGCATCATTTTGGAGATATAGAGGGTATATATCAATTTTAATTGGGTCAAAAATACGATTCATTCGTTGACCGGTCTAGTTGTACGTGGCGAGAACTTGTCAGTGGATAAGAATCGGCGAAAGCAAAAGCCAAAGAAATCGCTCCTGTGTGTCATTCATATTCGCACGTGGTATTTAAAAAAAAGATGTATTTTCTCTCTCTACATCTACACACACTGACACACATATATATACATATATAAGCACCACTTGCTTCCTATCATTGCAATTTGTCTATGCTTTTCTTTAACCTAGCTTTCTAGTTGGCTTTATTTCCAAATCTGTCTCTTTCTCAAATTTATGATCTTTTTCTATCAATATATACAACCAAAAATTGCCCTTTTTGTTTGCCTTATTTCATTTATATCCCACTTGTCTGCTTCCCATATTTTTATGTTATAGAAATAAAATGCACTCTCATTTTTCTTGTCTCTTTGGCATTTTTGAATTCCGAAAATGTTTCATTTTTCTTCCTTTAATTCTATGTTTTCCTTGCTTCCCTATATTCGCTAGTTTTTAAAGAGGGAATGATGGTAACACGAAGTGCAGGCTATGTTCATTTTTCTCCCATGTAGTTCTATATCTCTTGGCGACGGCGACTGCGACTTGGCTTTCTTGGCATCCATGACGCACAAACAAATAGAAAGCGAGCAGAAAAAGATAACACCCAAAAAAAATAAAATAAAAAATAAAAAATAAAAGGAGGAGACCTTACCTGCAGAAGGCAACAAGCGAATATAATTTTAGTCTATACTCATATCAAATTTTATATTATTTATGGGGAAAAATAAAAGGAGGAGACCTTTCTTGGCTTTCTTGGCGGCACGTACCCTTACGTAAGGTCTCCTCCTTTTATTTTTTATTTTTTATTTTATTTTTTTTGGGTGTTATCTTTTTCTGCTCGCTTTCTATTTGTTTGTGCGTCATGGATGCCAAGAAAGCCAAGTCGCAGTCGCCGTCGCCGCCTAGAGATTTAGAACTACATGGGAATGTGCCGCCAAGAGATATAGAACTACATGGGAATGTGCCGCCAAGAGATATAGAACTACATGGGAGAAAAATGAACATATCCTGCACTTCGTGTTACCATCATTCCCTCTTTAAAAACTAGCGAATATAGGGAAGCAAGGAAAACATAGAATTAAAGGAAGAAAAATGAAACATTTTCGGAATTCAAAAGCCAGTGTCTTGAGGTCCATTGGCTTTAAAATTAAAATTTGCTGTGGTGGTTGTACTCTGGTCTCTCACCATTATCTCTCAGGTCATTCTCATAGGGATTACATTACAGTCTGGTGTGAATGTCAAACTTCTTGCTTTCTATCTTATGTCAAAACAATTTGTGGAATTTTTCCAATGAGTTTTTCTTGCAGTGGCTAGTCGTGGAGGCGCGGTGTTGCACTGTTGCAAGTTCATGGAGCACACGGCTAGTCGTGAGATCCCTTCCTGCCCTTGGAGGGAATGTGTATTTTTCATGTTTTTTTGTTACCATCCCATAAAAAGGGCAAATCAAAACCAAAAACCATGTTTGATAATATGTTTTTTTTTTTTTTTTTTTTCCTCCTATAATAAAAAATGTTTTCATGTTTTTGAAGAAAAGAGGAAACATAAAAAAGGTGTTTCCTCTGTTTTCTCAATATAGCAGCCAAAATTTTTTAGCAGGATTCTTTTGGGGGCTCCGTAACAGTGTAACACAGACACTCTCTCTTCACGTTATCTCACTGTTCACTCATCTCTCCATGCAAATCTCGCTTCGAGGACTTGATTTGTTAATAATTTGTTTAACAAATTCTATTTCCAGGTCTGTTGTTAATATCTATGCATATATAATTTGTTTTATATTCTCTCTATGTGCATCTCTACTCCATAAATCTTGCTCTGTTTTTTTCTTTCCCTTTCTTTGATTTCTAGAACCGTTGTTGGTTTATTTAATTTGATTCTAGTGGAGGTTTTGTGCACGATTTTGTGGTTTCCTCGGTAATTTAAATGCTGAAATCGTTTGAGCGCTCACACTCTTCATCGTATGTGCATCCAAGTATAATTATGAAGGTAACATTAATAAGCATTGACACTCCATACAAATTAAATCTAACAGCCAGTGTTATCCTAGTTAGAATGGAGAACTCGAAGTCTTCAAAGCGAAATGGTGATGTGTAGATTGAGACAAACAATAGCGATGATGAAAACGTGAAAGAATGGATGGTTGAGAAGAATGGGGAAACCTGTTTCTTGATTTAAACCTCCTGGAAGTGTGAGGACCACGGCGAAGGCAACAGTGGCGACAAACACACTAAGCCATGAGCTGCTTTCTATTAAGAATTGCACCCATTCTATAGATTTCTTGCGAAGATCTTCCTTATTCTTAACAAATGCTTCTTTAGCAGTCTTCCCTTCACGGTTGCGACACAAACTTAAATCCACGGAACATGATGAGCAAAGTTCGTTTACACGCTGCATCTACACGTGTACACAATCACAAACTTCATGTTGGGAAACGTGCAAGTTTTAAAAACTTTTCGAGGGATTTTAATACATAGATCTTGATTCATCACATAGAGATAAGTTTTATGCAAAAATAAAACATGATGTATCATTCAATTAACAGATTGAATACTTACATCAAAGGTCTGAGTAAACCTTTAAAATTTTCCTCTAAAGTGAATGTTCTCACTTATTGTAGATTCCTTAGCAAAATGCCTTCTCCTTGGATCTCCATCTTCTTGGTAATTGTTTTGCCTTTAGGAATCACTCATAAGCCTCCATGAATGACCTTGGAAAACTAGGCTTGTGGGAGCCTCCATTAGATGAGAACACTAACCCTAATTTTCTAGAAAGAGAAAATTTATTCCTTTTTCCTTCTCATTAAAATCACCCCTAAAAATATACATAGACCATGTATATTTATAGGCAACATAAAGATAAAGAAAAGGAAACTACAAATCCTTCTCAGTCTCTAATTCACATGTCTCAAATCTAATATGATTCCAATATCAAGTTGGACTATGAGTGAGAATCCATTGGGCCTATTATTTTATTGGCTACAATGAATTAATAATTGGCCCGGTCCATGGACCCAATTCAATTAATTCATAAATTAATTTCTACTCCACTAAAAGAAATTAATTGAACTCCAATTAAATAATAAATAACCTCTAAGTCAATATTGCACTTTGACCCCTCTATGCATAATTAGTTATCGGATAAATAAAGCCATCAATCCGACTACTTAATTAATATATTTATTTTGGTACCATTGATTATTTCTGGCTTGATCACAATAAAACATTTGTTTGACAAAAATAATAATTTAATAAATAAATATATAATAAATTATTTTGTCTAAAACCACACGAAGGCCTTCAAATTTACTTTGTGATCAACCATAATCAATACAAAATAAATACAAGTAGCAATGATGCAAATATTGAAAATATAACCCTTTAACTATTAATCACATAACTACCCAAAGTGTCGGTCTAAGGATCCCGAAGTATCCGCCGAACAAATCAAAGTATTTATTAATTAATAAAAGAGTCTATAATTTTCTCATACTTAAGAGTTAAATGCCATGACGGTGATAGGGAGCAATTGCATATGACGGCTCTCACAATATATCTCAACCTAACGCGGATCCAGTTCAAGTCTTAATTAATTATGAGTCCATCCATTATTACCGACTATGAACAATTTATGATTACTATTTATATACATATATTGATCGCCATCACATACATATATAAATATCTCTTGTAATCAAATGGACACTATCAATTCCATAATGAATTGAAACATAATACATTAAATTCACCAATTGTATAAAACATAAATATTTCAGAAACGTCAGGAACATATGTCACTTTAATCCAAACAGGAATTTGCTATGCCAAGGCATATAAATCCCAACAGCTCCCACTTGCCCTCATAGCCAATTCAAATTGCACCTAACTCCAATGTTATCCAGATGATGATCAAAATTATTGATCAATGACACCTTTGATAATGGATCAACAAAGTTGTGTTCCAATGCAATGTTCTAGCTACAAGTACATGTTCTTGCCGGACAATATCATGTAGAACATGATACTTCCTCTCAGTGTATCTTGTTCCTCTATAGAACCTTGGGTCATTGGTTTGTACTACTTCTGCACTATTGTCACAACATAGCTCAATAGGCAGGTTGGTATACTCCACAACCTCTAAATCAGTGAGATCAAACCAATAGGCTTCATTTGCCGCCTTTAAGGTTGCAATATATTCCACCTGCAGATTTAAGTCAGCAGTTGAAATCTGCTTAACAATCTACCAACTGATTTCCCTTCCATTAAGTGAACATACACTAAGTCATGAACCTCATAGTATCTACTTACTAGAGAGAGCAATCCATATCAATAAAGCAAGAACTCATTCTTTGAGTTATGCATACCAAACCTGGTCAAAACTTTATCAATGTAGGATTATTAAGATAAACCTATTTTCCTTTTAACTTAATCTTGCAAAAGCTTGATCCTAGGAATATAGCTTACATCTTGAAAATCCTTCATTTAAAAGTAATTGAACAACTACCTCTTTATTGATGACAAAACTTCCACATCATTCTAAATGAGTAGGATGTCACCAATATATATAGAATCAGAAAAATAATGACATTCCCTTGCACACTCATAATTTATTCACTAAGAAATCTTCTAGTATCTTTTTGTAGATTAACTTGCCTTCCACAGGTATCACCCTACTAGAAAGTTCTACAAGATCCCAGAATTTATTAGAATACATAGATTCCAACTCTGATTTCATAGTAACTCGCCAAAACGATCTTTATCCATATCGGTTCACGCTTCCGTGTAGCTTACTAGGTCTAACTCATGTTTAACAGGGATGTCTATAACGGTCTCACCTAAAAACATGATTCTGTCGGATTGGATAATTATACTCCCACTACATCAATGTACCGATGAAGGAATCTGTGTACTAGATGATGCTGACGCATCAATAGGGAATTCATCTATAATTCTAAATCTTTATACTAAGTGTGTTCATATGTGGTACATCTGGTACTCATACCATATTCTCTAACACTATGCTACTAGGTATGTGATTCATAATATGATTCTCTTATAGATAAACAGTGAGTATAAACAATCAACTTTTATCATTGAGATCATAAAATAATCTGTCCTAGTGACTTTTAGAGTAGCTATCAAATCTATCATGCGTATGATCTGTTTCCAACTTTCTTATCCATATCAAACGCACATGTGCAAGACTACCCCATATGTGCATGTGATTCAAAGTAAGATTTAGTCAAAAACACAGCTCAACGGTATCCTTGAGACAGACTAAGATGGAATACAGTTCATAATGCGCATCGATGTCATTAACGCTAAACTCTTACATGAAAGAGATAATGTGGCATAACTAATCATAGATTTAACCATATTAAGTGGAACTTTGTTATTCCTATTTGACACCTAAATGCATTTAGCGTCAATTGCGAAAAACTGGTACACAACACCCTCATTGACCATATAGTCTTAGCACCATCCCAAGAAATACTCATATCCTCAATCAGATCAAAGTGTCTTGATAAGTTTACCTAATATGTGCTCCATATCAGTCTTAACCTTCTCAGAATATACCAAGAGTTTAAGACTTGTGTTGCATCAGATAACCTTATCCAAAATGTGAGTAATCTTGCTTGGATGTTCATAAGACCACACGTGTCAGTGTGTACCAACTCCAATTGTCCTTTATGTCTATTTCATCTGGCTGATTAAGCCCTTAGAGTTATCTATCCTTCAAAACAGGGTTCACAAGTTTGGTTTAGGCTCTTCTGCCTCACTAGGTAATTAACCTTCTTTGACCAATCCTTGAATCTCATTTTGACTGATTACAACCCAAAAACGGACACTAAAAATACAATGAGTCAGGAATAACAATTTTTCTCTTAACATTCAATCTAGAAGATGCAACATTAGTTTCTACATCCTGCAAATCTTAAGAGTTTGTGATTATAGTATATTAACCATTTTTCAATGCACCAGAAGCAATCGCATATCTATTCAATTTTATAAAACCAGTTTTACAAAATAACAACACAGTTTTTATAAACCACAAGTGAAACAAGAATAAGACAGCGTCTAACTTCTGTGCATAAAAATAGTTCTCTAATACTAATATCCTCATACTCTCTAATTTCAGATGTAATACTCCCACTGACTTAGCTACAACCTTGACATCAGGTCAAGTACAAAATATATTCCATATCATCGAGGCTTCTGGATTCCTGAAATCCTTGCAACGAATTGCAAAAATGTTTAGTGGCTCCAGAATCTAACCATCAGGAATTAATAGATACAACCACATAACATGGCTCAATGATTATATATATATTTTCCTATGCCACGTCATTACTTAGACAGTTCGTCCTTTAGTGTCTTTGTTAGCAGCAAAAGAAATAATTTAATTTGCCCTCAACATATACTGCCTTATTCCTTTTAAATATTTGGATACCCATGTTTTGTGCTAGCCTAGTCCTAGTATCACCCTTCTTCTTTGCTTTGCCCTTCCACTTGGGCCTAGAAGAAGATGGTATAGACTAGGTTAGATTGATAGGAATGCCTATACTTTTGATTATCCCTTCATTTGTTACCAATTCTATAAGAATATCAGCGAGTGTGAACTCAAACTGATTCTTTATTTAGTTTACTCTGAAAGAACCGAACGAGTTTGGTAACAAGGCAATAATCATGTCAACTTGAAACTTACCACCCAAGTCAGCCCTATTGATCTCCAGCTAATTTTTAAATAATAAACAATCATTTTCCAAAATTCGATTTCATACTGGAATTCCTTAGGCTATCTTGATGTTATGTAAATTTGACACAGTACTCAGACATATCCTCTATCTAATCTCACCAAAACATCTCATTAAATATCCTAAAGTAAAGGAATTAGGTATAAGAGTATTAAATACATTTCGTACCCTTACGTTGTGAATAAAATATCTAAGTTCATTTTCCAGTCATTATAAATGAGGTCCAAATACATTGAATATGCAAGCAAGCAGATAAACTGGATTAGACATAATTAATCTGAATATAAATGCATTCATACAATATGCAAGGTGAATTATTAATACTGTCATGCATATTTAAAATCAAAATGAGTTTGTTAATCACATAATATAATAAATCTCAATCGCACAAGAGATCATTATCATTATTGGTGAACAATCCCTTTTAATTAATGCGGGTCCCTCAACTCTGTAGCATAATAAATCAACCAATCAATATGTCAATAACTTATCCTGTTAGAGGAGTTCATTATTTTTATTGTTGAGATTCATTTACTATTAGGCAAGCACTTCCATTAAAATAGTATGTGGATCCTTTAACCACTGCATAAAAAATCGGATAACCAATACGCCAATAACTTATTCGGTTGGCGAAGTTCATTATTACTACTGGCGGACAAATCCCATTATCTCCATATCTCTTAAGACAATGCCTTGTCTATCTATATGAAATGATTCCCAATTATGTTTAGCCTTTCGAAAATAACTTAGTGTAGACCACTCCGTTGGGGAGCTAACACTATTAATTTTAGATTGAGTGTATAACGTTATTAATGCTCTAATGAAAATAAAACATTAAATATCTTGTCATTATTATCTAGACTCTTTAAATCATGCGTAGGGCCTTATTTTTAAAAATCTAATTACAATGAACATTTAATATTTTTATTTTCATGAGACAACCATTCTTGTAATATTAAGACTCTTCAAATCATGTGTGAGGCCTTATTTTTGAAGATCTAATTACAATGGTTTTAATAACGAAGGCCATGGGGCAATGTATAAAAATCCCCGCTCCCACTCAATTTTTAATCATTAATAATTAGGGTTTTGAATTTATTCATTTACATGATATAATGCATGCAAAACGTCTTGATTTTAATCCAATTAAATTTAGAAAATATTTGGACATTTAAATGATTCACTAATGTTTAATTTGAAGCACACTTTAAAAAATAATTTACAAAAATAATTTTTCGTTTCCCAATAAGTGTTCTCAAATTAATTAATAATCAAATCCAATTAATTTTCATAATTTAATTAATATAAATCAAGTCATTTAATTAAATATCATGGATCCAATGCATGAATAATAATTAATCAACAATTATCTATTCCATGCATCACATAAATAAATAAATGACAGATAAAGCAAATAAAACGGCCAATGGAATCAGCTTTTAACATTTATGTGCTCTAATTATTGCGCGAAGGTCCTTCATCAGCTTGCAAACACCTGTAGGAGACAAGAACGTGCCTGGAGAAGCAAAACGGCGCTTGGAACGCACCTGGAAGGACTTACACGAGCTAGCACACACCCCTGAAAGGTCCCAGCGCGTGTCATGCGCTTACACGCGCTGGAGTGTTAATGCTGTGTGTGCCACGCGCTGGCATGTGCGCGTGGAAGGTTGCCAGCGCGTTTCACGTGCTGGCACGCGCCAGATCTGCCTGGCTTTGTAAGCGCGTGAGCTTCACGCGCGTTTCCATTTGTGGTGCATTGCGCATCATGTTGCTGCACCTCACTGTATCATCTTCAGCCGCATGATCTGCATCCAACGGTCCCTTGCTGCGGTTGCACCAAATGATGGTGCACCGCGAAACATGGGATTACCATCCTACATTCCGATGTTCCTGTCACTGCCGGCGGCGCTCCGGTCACCGGAATTTCGCCAGAAAACCACCGAAAATAATAATAAAAATCCAAAAAAAATTAAATTTAGGCCCTAAAAAATCCAGAAAAATTCAGAAAAATTTCTAAAAAATCCCAGAAAATTCCTGAAGCCTAATTTAACCCTCATGGACCGTTTTGAAGCTTACATAGCATCCTTTGATGAAGATTACATGGCTTTAAATAAATTTACAATTTGAAATACAATGGAAAAAATTAAATTACATCATTGAACTTCCAAACGGATAAATCAAAACCTTAATTACATTCATCCAAAGATAAAATTACATTCTAATAACCTATAAGCTTCATCCATGGCCCAAACATTCATCAACATTCATCCAATCACAAATATACACACATCATGATCATATAAAAATATATACATATGCATATATAAATTTGGATCCATGAATGATGATTTTCATAAAATCATGATCTCTAGTAATGAATCAAACCATGCTCTGATACCACTGTTGGGAAACGTGCAAGTTTTAAAAACTTTTCGAGGGATTTTAATACATAGATCTTGATTCATCACATAGAGACAAGTTTTATACAAAAATAAAACATGATGTATCATTCAATTAACAGATTAAATACTTACATCAAAGGTCTAAGTAAACCTTTAAAACTTTCCTCTAAAGTGAATATTCTCACTTATTGTAGATCCCTTAGCAAAATGTCTTCTCCTTGGATCTTCATCTTCTTGGTAATTGTTTTGTCTTTAGGAATCACTCATAAGCCTCCATGAATGACCTTGGAAAACTAGGCTTGTGGGAGCCTCCATTAGATGAGAACACTAACCCTAATTTTCTAGAGAGAGAAAATTTATTTCTTTTTCCTTCTCATAAAAATCACCCCCAAAAATATACATAAACCATGTATATTTATAGGCAACATAAAGATAAAGAAAAGGAAACTACAAATCCTTCTCAGTCTCTAATTCACATGTCTCAGATCTAATATGATTTCAATATCAAGTTGGGCTATGAGTGAGAATCCATTTGGCCTATTATTTTATTGGCTACAATGAATTAATAATTGGCCCGGTCCATGGACCCAATTCAATTAATTCATAAATTAATTTCTACCCCACTAAAAAAAATTAATTGAACTCCAATTAAATAATAAATAACCTCTAAGTCAATATTGCACTTTGACCCCTCTATGCATAATTAGTTATCGGATAAATAAAACCATCAATCCGACTACTTAATTAATATATTTATTTTGGTACCATTGATTATTTCTGGCTCGATCACAATAAAACATTTGTTTGACAAAAATAATAATTTAATAAATAAATATATAATAAATCATTTTGTCTAAAACCACACGAAGGCCTTCGAATTTACTTTGTGATCAACCATAACCAATACAAAATAAATACAAGTAGCAATGATATAAATATTGAAAATATAACCCTCTAACTATTAATCACACAACTACCCAAAGTGTCGGTCTAAGGATCCCGAAGTATCCGCCGAACAAATCAAAATATTTATTAATTAATAAAAGAGTCTATAATTTTCTCATACTTAAGAGTTAAATGCCACGACGGTAATAGGAAGCAATTGCATACGACGGCTCTCGCAATATATCTCAACCTAACGCGGATCCAGTTCAAGTCTTAATTAATTATGAGTCCATCCATTATTACCAACTATGAACAATTTATGATTACTATTTATATACATGTATTGATCGCCATCACATACATATATAAATATCTCCTGTAATCAAATGGACACTATCAATTCCATAATGAATTGAAACATAATACATTGAATTCACCAATTGTATAAAACATAAATATTTCAGAAACGTCAGGAACATATGTCACTTTAATCTAAACAGGAATTTGCTATGCCAGGGCATATAAATCCCAACACTTCAATCAATCAAAAATATACGGAGAATTAAATCCCTCAATTCCAAGAATTAAAAGTGAAACGTTGAGAGTTCAAGTTCCAATAGAGTAATAAGAGGAGCTTGTGGACTCACAACAGTGTAGTTATATGGATCCCTTGCCCTTCTCGCATTTAGAAAGGAGTGGGTTTGTGTATGTGCCCAAATCAATATATGACAATGTAGAAGTGTCCCTATCTATATCAATATATGTATATGTATATATATATATATATATATATAGAGAGAGAGAGAGAAGGGACTTACCTTAAACAATATCAAATCTTCATGCAATTGGACCATGGGGTTTCCCTGTATTATTTTGAATATAGAGTCTTCTCCAACCATATGTAGAATGTTATTCAAATCTTTGTCTCTCTGCACAACAAGCCTCCTCCATGGAATTCCCACGTGGTGCAACACATCAAAGACCCATAGTTGGCGGTGCTTGATCGCTATATGTAAAATGGTAGACCCATTGCCATCAACACCCTCAACTGCCTGAGGGTACACTTTGAGTATCAACTCAACAATATCCACGCAGCCAGCTTTAATTGCCAAAAATAATGGTGTTTCTGTATTGCTTTTCTCCCCATCATTCTCTACAGTAATATTGGAATCTTGTGATGATGATGATGATATTGATTGCCCTCCATTGTTTCGAGTCTCACTCAGCGGAGCTTCTAAAGGATAAGCATTCTTGCATGATGTATTATCTTTTTCTACTAAGAAGCTGGCAAGTTTCTTAGCTGATTCATATTTTTGCATTTCCTTCCCCGTCTCTAACAAATGCACTCTCCAAACCAATGCATCTTCATTTCCAACAAATCAAACTCAGAAATACATGAAAAAGAGTAATGCTTGGGTCCTGCCTTATCAAGACAAGAATCGTCCTCCAAGCTGACTTGCCTAATAAGGATTTGCCACATCTCCATTCCATTAAAAAATATAAAACAAGGGTTATTGTGACAAATTTTTGTAATTTTTTATTTTTCAATTTTTATTTTATTTTTCTTATTTAACCTAAACCTAAACTAAACTAAAAATAAAATAATCATGAAAATTAACTAAAACCTATTAAAAAAAAAATTAAAGCACAAACAAAGATTAAAAACTAGAAATAAAAACAAAACTATGGTACAACACACAAATGTTAAGTTTAACGTCGATAGTTCGACAACATGCTAAGTTTAACGTCGATAGCTCGACGAAAACTGGCTTCTTTAGTCCAAGTAAATAGGATCATGAAGTTCTACTGTCTCTCGGCACACTACCCTCTATGTAGGGTTTAAGTCTCTTTCCATTGACTTTGGACAATTGTCCAATCTTGCAATTTTGTATCTCAATCGCATTATAAGGTGTAACAGAAATAACCATATATGGACCTTCCCAACGTGACTTTAGCTAGCCAGAAAAAAGTTTCAGTCGTGTGTTAAACAAACAAACCTTCTTCCCAAGCTCAAAAGTCTTACGCAAGATATGCTTGTAATGAAATGCCTTAGTCTTTGATTTGTTAACTATGATACCCCTCGGATCTGAGACACGGGTTGATCAGGCCTAGGCCCAAACCCGAGGGATATCGAACAATTAAAATATTTTAAATCGAACACGAAATACAAAGTGAAATACGAAATAATATAATAAGTTGAAAGAAACTAAAAGACAATACTTGTATCATAATTAATCAAATCCGATAATCCAAAACTCCATAAGTTTACAACTTGGAAACCCATCCATTGGACCCCTTATTAAAAATTCTCAAACCAAAACTGAAAAAAATAGAAATAAAATCCAAAGCTAACATAGAGAAGATTCCTACATAATCGGAGGAATGAATATCCGAATCTGCTCTGCACGTCCAAGCTCTAACCCCGGAACTGACGAACACCTAAAAAATAAAGGAGTGGGTTAGGCCCACATACAAGTCCTGATCTACTACAATCCAAATAGTAATCCGATACGCAGATACATCCTAGGAAGACTCAACAATATCTAGAGTAGTCCATATATGTATATAGTACACACTATAAGATGCTTGCTAGTCCAGTAGGTCTGTCTTAGCCTGAATAGAAGGCAACATGCGAATATGCACCCTAAGGTGGGCATGAGTATCTAAACCTACTAGGGAACAACACCTATGTCCAGTTATTCATCCTAGGCGATATACGCGCCTTAACCATGGTCATGAGACTCAAGTTCATACCACGGCACCATATAATATATATATATATATATATATATATATATATATATATATATATATATATAAAGTCCGTACTCCTCCTAATACAGAATACCATCCATCTGTATAGTGGTCTGATATATGTATAATAAATCTATCCTGAACCCATAGTAGGTCATTTAATTCTCAATTGATATGACACAAGTAGTTGATGGACTTAACCTATATGATTAATCCATACCTTAATCCAAGTTAGGTAGAACTTAGTGTTTGAACTAGTCTATACCTAGTATGTCACCATCCCATACCGGTACATACAATCCTCCAGTTAACAAAGTTGACAAAAACAATAATAAGTATTTATTAACCATACTCCAGAATTAGCATAAATATAGTTTAACATGTATATAACCAACTTATGCATTCAATATAAGATTTAGAATCCCAATTACAGTCTGTTAAATTGATAAAGTAGGATTACACAATCTACCTTTCCAAACAGTACCATAACTGATGCAATGTAAAACAGATTTTAACACCAGTTAATCCCAACTAAACATACATATAACTATACAACAGTATGCTTATAACACAGCTGCAAAACATGAATTATAATTCCAAGTCATGCAGAGAAATTTAAATTACTAAAATAGTAAGCAATTACAAGTTTATGCTAAACCTTTCTCCTACAGGTTTACTTTGAACCTTAGGTTAATTCCATCCTAAATTTCTGAATGTAAGCTTGCTTCTTAACCTTTTTATAAGTCTTAAACAATGCTTTATATCCTCCAGTAGCATTTAAATAGTTTTAGAAAACCCAATCTCAGCCAAACAGCCCATAAAAATAAAATTCTGTGCGTTTTTAGATGGAGCAGGCTCTAAAATTTGGAGCCTACTCTATTTTTCACTTAGAGCCATCTCTAAACCACTTAGAGCCAGCTCCAACTCTTTGGGAGCTAGCTCTAAGGGATTTGAGAGCCTGCTCTCTTTTCCCTTAGCAGCCGTTGTCCGTTCCAGCTTCGTCTTCTCCGATTCCGGTGATTACCAGAGCCTTTGTAACATGTTTTAATTCTTATTCTAGGTTCAATCTCAGTCCTAGGTACATATTAAACCACTGATATTCAATGATAGCATGCATGGAACACAAGTTTAGAAACAACGATCACAGAACTTTAAGCAACCCACAACAGATTAATTTGGTGAAATTAAATACTGTGTTAATTACTTATTCAAGGGTTCGTTTAATTTCTCAGACTAATCCTAAAGCATAAATATATATTCACAACAAGAATTTAACACAAGATTTAAAACAATCCGCAACAAAATTTCAGTTAGAACTTTTAAGCAACACTAAAACAGATTAATTCAATGGAACTAAAAACTGATTTAAACATGCATATTAGATGAATCATAACATTTGTTTCATCTATTTTAATCTTTGATTAATCCCTGGAGTCTTAACTAGGCATGCACAGAACACGAATTAACGGGAGAGAGAAGAACAGAGACTTGCCTCTGAGAGTTTGAATTAAAACTTTAACTGTCGTCTCTATCAACTCCGGCAACGTCAACTTGTTGTTATCAACCTTTGTCGCTCCTAGTTAAATCTAGAACTCCTCCTTGAATCCCTCCCTTAATCTCCTAAGGTTCTCTCTGTAAATTACTCAAGCTCAATCTCTGTTTCTCTGCCCTCATAACTTTCTGTATGACTCTGTTACATGAATAAGGTTAACAAACCCTTGGCAGATGTATACTTATATTTATAGGTTTTACGTGAAACCCTAAATTAAATCCTAAACCAACTAAATGTCAGCTCCAACCCTAGACACGGTGTAAAACATAAAACCCTAATTACCAAAACAGTGAAATCACCTAAGAACGTAATTAATTAAACTTGAGAAATACATTTAAATTAATGTAACAAACCAGAAATACAAATTAAGCAATTAATTAAAGAAAACACAATTTAATTGAATTAAAATAAAGTAAATCAAATAAGCAAAAATTTAATTAATTAAAACAAGCAAATAAATGTATTAAAAATGCACATAAAAATTAAAACAAATTCCAGGACTGTCCTTTAAAATTAGGGGTATTACATTCTTCCCCCCTAACAAAAGAAATTCCGTCCTCGGAATTCGCTCTTACTTTCTTCCTATAATTCAGGAAACTGTGAGCGAATGACATCCTCTCTTGCAAAAATTTTCGCAACATAGAAACATGGAACACATTATGGACGCGATCCAAGTTATCCGGAAGTGCCAACCGATAAGCAACAGCTCCAACACGATCTGTAATCATGAATGGACCGATAAACTGCGATGATAACTTCCCTTTCTTCCTAAAGCGCATTACACCTTTCATAGGTGACACTTTGAGTAGAACCTGATCTCTAACCTTAAACTCCAAAGCACAAGTACGCCGATCAACATTTGCCTGCTCTGAGCAGTACGCATGCGATCCTTAATAAGAGCTATCTTCTCAAAAGTATCCTTGATGAACTCAGGACCCAAGAATCGGCTCTCTCCAACCTTCATCCAACAAACAGGCGATCGACATGGTCGGTCGTATAACGCCTCAAATGGTGCCATCCCAATAGTCTTCTGGAAACTATTGTTATAAGCAAACTCCACAAGCAGTAAGTATTTGGTGTTTGCCCCTAGGTGTGCACAAAATAATGCACAACACTTTGAGTTTGAAAATTAGTGTCAAGTGGGCATCATAGTTAAATTTATAAACCGCTTAACACCTTTACTATGTAGTATGAGTGAGAAGGGGTCGTCCCAAGGGATTGGAGTCGTACTTGAATGTGAAAATGCAACTAGGGTTAGTAGGTCGAGTGATCAAACAAATAGTTGGTTGGGTAAGTAAACTAAAGAACAACTAAATTAAACTAAGTGATTGAATATAACAAGAGTAAGCAAGAGAGAGAGAGAGATCTTGGGGTTTAGAGGTCACTACCAAGCAATGCTTTTCTACACTTCCAACTAGTGACTAATGAGGGTAAAGTGTGTTGCAATATTTGTGTGTGTGCTTGGTTGATTCAATTAGCAAGGGTGACCAATTTAAGCATACATTGTCTAATCAACATGTGAAAGGCACAATATATCTAGCAATTAAGTATATATTGTCTAAATAGCATGTGAGAAGCACAATATATCTAGCAAGTCATTAATCTTTTCATTAAGCTCACTAGCCAAACACACTATAAGGTTAGAGACATATGCTACTTGCATTCAAAAGTATGGAACATCAAACAACTAGCATGTATTGTCCTCTCATCTAACAATTATGCTATCACTACATTACAATTAAACTAATGGCATGAAATTAAACTAACTAAGCTAAGGGAGAGGCATAATCCATCAAGAAGTGAGCATGGACCATCTAGAAAATCACAAGAGCATTCTTTTAAGCACAATATTTTGACAATCCCTAAATCCATAGCATTAATACATATAGACATGCATCAATTACACAAGAAATAGAGGTAAACACATGAACATTTATTCTAGCATACATAGACATATGGATAGAATGAAATGATTGATTGGAGGCATTAAACCACATAAATCATTGAATAAAC